CTCGCATTCGCGCGTTGTCGCATTTCTCTCCCTCATCTGTCTCTTTTCCTCCGTGTTTCCCCCCCGTGTGTCTCCCACAGTCCCGGTATTATGGTGTAATTAGGCGATAGGCTTTATACGATTTGCCGTGTAAAACCCGCCGGAGTGAATGAGCCCGGCCGAAGTGAATGTCGAGCGCACAAGTGTGGACGTCCCGCGGTGACATCCGACGCGCGCATTGTGAACGCTCCTTTCCAGTGCCGTGACGACTCATTGTGAGCGCTCCGGCTTCTCTCCTCTCTTCTCTCCTCTCCAATTTCTTCTCGCGGTGGATGCGAACGATTCTTTCTAATCCGAGCGAGTATATTTGCGGCAAATAGCCGATCGTCCGTCTGCTCGCGAGCAAAGTCAATCTACTCGCGGAACGTCCAAACTATCCCTCGGACCGCTGAAACAATTCTAAGCGAGAAACTCGTTAGTAGCTTCGCCAGAAATCTTTGAAGAATTTTCATGTGAATATGTGTTTCTTCTCCTTTTTTTATATATATATCTCAAACACGTCATGCGCAAGTATATTCTTCATTTATTATCTTTTATTTGATACAATCTTAATTTGATCAGTTACATTGGTAAACTCGTTACGTTGGGGAAACGTAAAAAACGGACGTAATTGTATTGGAGAAAAGAGTACTCAAAGATATAAGAGACTCTCAAGTGACCTGAATGCGTCGTCGTAAGGTCGAGATGCTTCAAGGAACAGGGTGGAAAGCGACGCGACGAGATGCAGGGGAGGATACGACTCGAAAATCCGAAACGGAAAGCTCATAAGTAACGGCGAATTGTTAGGAAAGGGCGGAAAATTGGCCGCTAACCTCTTTACTCTGCAGCGCAATTGCATTAGATTGAATTGTATTATGTTTCGAAGGAAGCCTTCCGTAAGATCTATAACCGTTTAACGCCTCGTTAACTGTTCATTATTAACGTGCCGTTAAACAGGAATAGATCCTATAAACGACGCGCGCGCGAATTAACGTTGATCAATGAAACGCTTTTCGACGGTCCACATCTGGATTGAGACATTACGGATTGATCGATATATCGAGGTCGAAATGTGTGACGAGAAAAGTATCATTAAGAGCGCGAGCCTCCGTCGCGTCGTGGCGTCACGTGACGATGGAAGAGTCGCGGAATCTCTCTACGAAACTCGCCGCGGGTTGAATCTTTCCTCTTGAGCACGGGCATCGCGAATAAATTACACAAAGTTCAAACGTATGGAAGCGTAACGAACAGCTTTAAGATATTGTATAATCGAGCAGAGATCGTATACTAAAAATATCATTACTAGGGCAAGGTTAATAAAGTCATTCAAATCCAGCGTTTCGCGGATGTAGCCGAACACCTGGAAAGAATTACCTGGAAAAATCAGAAGTTCCTCTCGAAATATATTTTTCGGGTTATATCACACGTCACGGTCCGTGAGATTTAACGAAAACACACGCGCGACGCTCGCGGTAAGCAGCTGTCGAGTGCGCGCTTGAACCACGTGAAAAAATACAAAAATATCGCGAGAGCCAGGTGCCTCCAACGAAATTAATTAACCCGCCTCCCCTGCGCGCGCGCGCGAGCCGCGCGTTACGATAAAGCGATTTATCTCTCAATCGTCCTCGATTGCGCGGAACATTGGCGTGTACAGCGGCGATAATGTAGCTACCTCTCGTTCTTCGCCGGTGTAATTAATAATTAATGCACAAACGCGCGCGTGCACGTGCTCAGGACGAGTGTAATCGCGGGCGGAAGTCACTTTATACGGTAGCGCGAGCGGTTAATGCCCGCGGGGGTTGGGCGTGTATTACGGGGGCGGATTTCGACGGTGTAGTCGCGGTAGCGACGGCGGTGGGTGCCATTAACAGTGTTTCGCCGGAAATGTAAAGCATAATGCGCCGGCAGCTCGTGGATATGGAACCTATTACCATCCGCGTGTATAATGCTACCACCATCCCCGTCCTCCCTGCCTCTTCCCCGTTTTCCTGGGCCCCGCGCCCGTCCACCTCCGCCACTCCCCGTCGTTGTTGCGCGCGTTGTAGTGTCTCTCGCCGCGTGCTTACGGTGCGTTTCAAGGAGGGTTCAAACTTGTCCCGCGGCAGTGTGAGAAAGGCACCCTGTTCGTGAAAGAGCATCTCTGTGACGAGACCGTCATCGTCATCGTCGCGGCGGAGGGTCGCGCGGAATTCCGCCGCGCGGCTGCCACGGCTCTCGCGAGCGGCAGTCCTCCGTTCGCTTTCCTGTCGTAAGAATAAATAATCCCGCTGCATATTAATGACTTCGGAAACTTTGCGGTTTCGTTCAATCAACGTTGCCCTTTTTGGTTGTGCGATTTTAAGCGAGATTTACCGGAAAATATTTCATCCGCGGCGGAGCGAGACACACCGGACGTTGAAAAGATGAAATTATTTAAGAGGATGATATTTTTTCGGGACATTCGTGAGGAGAAGACTAACTAAACGGCTGTATGTGAGAGAAGAAGCGACAGAGCACGCGGTTCATTACTCGCGCAATGTTCCGGTACTTGGGCTCAAAAGTGTGTATGCGAAAAACAAAAAAAAAAGAAACGCGAAAGTCATGGGGAATACCGCTGCTCCGGTGGCGATCCCGCGCGAGGCGGAGTTCGAGTTGGAGCTCGCTAAATCGACAGCTTGGCGTCTTGCAAACAGGAGCGACGTGATCCTGTTTGCGCTCAGTCGGGCATAATCCGAGGTAATCCTCTTGCACAATATGCGAACGCGATGCGCTCCACCCTCGCTCTTGCTCTCACCCTTGCTCTCTCTCTCTCTCTCTCTTTCTCTCTTCCTTCCTTCCTTCCTTCCTTCCTTCCTTCCTTCCTTCCCTTCCGTCCTTTGCTCTCTTATTTCTTCTCTGTGTTTCTCTTCTCTCTTTTTCTCTGTACATGTGTATATACACGCGTACGTGCTTTTCGCGCCTCGTTCGGCTCTCTTCTCTCCGCTGACTGTATTTCATCTGCCGCGCCGACATCTTCGCGCGAGGAAGCGCTCCTCTGTTGCAGCGCAAAGAGCATCGTGGATAATGAAAGGAAAAAGGGGGAAGCGTGTCTCGCGGACGCGATGGCTGCCTCGCGTTAAATCACGTTGCTCGCGGGAGCGGATCGTCTTATGAATTGCAACATAAATTCAATTTGGCTCAATGAATCTCGCGTGAATATACGAAAGAGACGTCCCGCCTCGCGCTCTCGCTAACGAGAAGAGAAATATGTTACGTCACGTGTGTCTATGATATCGTAGTCATTAGAGAAAGACGAGATATTGCACAAATTAAACGGCATGGCAGTAAACACAGAACCAAATAAGACTTCATCAGATCTCACGGTTGCGTCCAACGAATCTTATTCAACGCGATTTTGGAGTAAAAATGGCGTTACTTGATGCTCTTGATATTTCGTAATATTTAAAACACTAATTTGATATTCATATTCACTATATATTTATTATATATTCATTATTGATATTCATATATTACACTATTTGATATTCATACACAACAAAAATACGTTTGAATCAGGTAAAACATCCGCAAAAAGGCTTTCAAAAGTGATATAACAATCTACACTTGTAAAATGGAATGTCTGTCTGTTTCCTATAAGCTCCTACACTTAATTTGGACTAAATTTTGTACAGTTATTCCCTAGAATCCTGCAGAAAATATAGGCTGCGTGAAACCTAGACACTCCACCCCGTTCCTCTGATTTCATCCCTGTGATATTTTGTAATAATTTAAGTTTAGTAACTCTAGATATATAAGAAGCTCGCGGGCAACGCCGAATAGTTTAAGCTAGTATTCTATATTCTATTGCATAACGTGAATCATGCCTAATAGACAACGCCACGCAAATTTTGTGACTTGAGTGACGAAATTTTATTTCTTCTCTCCGCGATTGTCTTGAACTCTGCTCTCTTCTCGCAGATTGTTCTTCGTTGTGCGCGTTCCGCGTGTTGGAACGATATAACTCGTACGCTCTCAGCCGACTAACCCTTTCCGACACTAATTATCACGCTTAACTCCATTTTCATCCCCAGCACGAGCTCGTTTCACCCTCTTTTTTTTGTCCGCGATAACGAAAGATACGGAGGGTGTTACGTGTACGAGCTAGTTCGCATCTTCAACGAGCGCGATCCACGGTAATTAAAACACTTCACGTGTCGTCAATGCTCCGACGTTCAAAACGACTCGGCTCTTGTTTAAGGGTGGTTTACGTTCACTCGGGTGTGTGCTCGTACAAGCTAGGTTGTTTGCCAGCGGAAAAGCGACCGCGAATAATAATCAAAATTCAAAGAAGAGAATCGCTCTGTATTATTGAACAACTAATTTAAATAATGTCCATCAGTCTCGCGTTAAAATTTACCGGTTGATTTTTCACCCGTCGCTCAAAATTCAAATTCTGTCGGCACAAATTGGATTTAAGATCAACTCCTTAATGAGACTTCGTTATCTATTATCTCTTTCTTTTTCTTACATAAAGCAACGGCAAAGTACCAGCTGTACGTTGCGGCAGGACAGAGAGATAGAAAGAGAGCACGTTTTTTAATGATAACGACGTGGAGATCGCTCGCGCTTTTATTTGCCCTCAAGGCGACCACGCGACGCACACGCGGCCGCGATATCTAAATGACGCGGATTTGCACAGGTGCCGCGGTCGCACGAACAGTTTTTGAAAATACGCTACCAAATTGAGCGCGACATTAGTACGCGACGGAGGTGGCACGACCGGTACGTCGAGGTACCGAGTTTCCACCGAGTGTATTTGCTACGAGCCGATTTCTTCTCGAATCGCGTTATCACCTGGTCATCTGAGGGCTCGTTTTTTCGCTGTATTCGTTACTTGATGCCGCGTCGCGAAACTTAAACATTGTTAAGCCAACATTCACACGTTGGACGGTCGGTAATTGGATTTTCACGAAGGCGGATTTTCACAGGGATTTTCTAACGATATCAATTATTGTGTGTTTCAGTGAACGAAAGTGTTCAAAGGCCCGAAGATTCTGCCTTCGCAGCAGCTGGGCGCTGCGGTCGCTCCATGGCCGGGCGCCACCGGCCTCATAGCCTCAGTCACTGCTGACGACATGGCACACAAAGGTAAGCCGCCACGCAATTGTGCAATCGCTAAATTCTTATGCGTGCCACTTGCGCGCCACAGATAGTGTCGCACGGAAATAATCTTATTGAAAATCACTATAGAGTTTTAGTAGTCGAGAAATAGATCGACGTTCTGCAGTAATTCACTTGCGCAATTTATATTTTGGCAACTGAAATGTGCCATTGAAAAAATTTGCTATATTTCTAGCGATCTCACTAACAGTTCAATTCTTGCACCATCAAAAACATATTTGTACAAAAAGTGCAAGAAGAATTGAGAGATGGAAAGTCCGACGAGTTCTATACTAGAGCTTCGTCCCAGTCCGGAATGTCTTTGAGACTTGAGACTGCGTGGGCGATAAGAAAATTGCACGGCCTGCGCGGGCCCGAGGTGTATCGGAAAGATGCGAAGGGACGTACTTTCTTACGATCATCGACCATACGTCATTTTCCAATCCGGCATTCCATTACGGCGAGGGCCATCACGAGAACGATTATGGTAAAACCCCTGCGGAGGCGGCGGCGCTCCGCCTAAGGAGCATAAAACTTAACGGCCTCTGGCCGATGGCTACGGAATACCTCGACAGCACATAACCACCATACGTGCAACGAATTCTCTTTCCTCTCCCGATTGGTCGCTTTTGCATTAACGACACAGCTACTTCTCATGCGGTTCGCGTGCACCTCTTCGTTCGACCTGCAAGCGATTTTTTCACGCTTTTCGATCCGGTGGAACTTCCCAACACTTGCCATGAGCAATGATTCGACTCATAAAGATTTTCTCGCGCAATAATAATTGAAATATTCGGGTATTGACTCCTCCTTTTCAGTTGAATTGTGATATAAGTGACATTTACATCTGCAATTCCACCGAAAAAGTCACGTCTAACCCTCAATTCAAATTTGATTATTTCTCTTGGCGAGAATTAAGTCAAGTAGTAGCTATTAATATAGGCCTGCGAGTTAGATCTGAGCTTTTTAGTTGAATCACGTGATACATATAATATTATATTTGTAATCGTGATTCGATTAAAAAATTCATATTCACTCTACATTCACACGACTCTAAATTAAAATCTGAATATCTTTCTTAATGGACTAAAAAAGGGGAGAAGATACATCTCGCGAGCACGCCTTTTCTATTGATTCGCGAGAGACGGAGGTCTCTCGACGAGCATAAACTGTGTCCGGAGATATTATAGATAATTCGAATTCGAGGCCCGGTCGAATCGAAACGTCCGAGAATCAAGAGGGAGGCGTTCGGTTGATGGCTAAGGCGTTTAACCCCATTAGTCCTGAATGGAACCTCTCGTCTCACCCTCTTGCGTTCTCTCTCTCTTCCTCCTCCTCCTTCTCGCACCCACCTCTCTCACCCCCTCTCTCTCTCTCTCTCTCTCTCTCTCTCTCTCTCTCTCTCTCTCTCTCTCTCTCTCTC